CATATATTTTGAAAACTTATTATCAAATCAGGTGTTAATCCCCGCTCAAAATAATGACCAATCAAGAGTTGTCAAGTATTGAAAATGGCATGTCTTGACCAATCACTATCTATTTTCAAATAAAGTTGGATGATTTAAAAGTGAGGTGGCATGCCTCATTGGGCAGCATTATTATTTATATTTTCTTAGAATTTTGAACACAAACTCTAAACTTTTTGAAAAAAAAACTTGAAAAAATTATTTCTTTCCTCATTAATTATTGACATTTATTTCATTTCTTCAAACCTCTTTCTCTCTATCTCTCTCTTCGTACTTTTCTTTCATTTCTTTAAAAATGACTTTATTTTAGCCTCTCTCTTTTCCAACTTTTTTTTTTGTTATTTAAAAAATAAATGACTATAACTTTTTTTATTATTCTCATTTATTTCATCTTCATAAATGACTATAGTTTGAGGACATTGCTCCGTATCAACTCTTGTGATTTGACTGATGTTAATTTCTTTGGAAGTCCATCCACTTGGTGGAATGGTATAAGTGATGGTGTGTGCATCCTCAAAATATTATATAGAGTGGTTGTAAATCAAGAGTTATTGAATCCGTAAGGGAATATTGATTTGCAACATCTAGTCATGACAAGGTCAGACCATGCTCCTCTATTGCTTTCTTGTGGTGTTTGGTCTGAGGTGTTTTCTAGACCTTTCAAATTCCTGAAGTTTTGGGTTGTAGGTGATAAATTTAAAGAAGTGGTCAAGCTCAATTGGGTAAGCTAGTGAGTGTTATGATGTCTTTGTTCAACTAAAAATCAAGCAGACGAAAACTGAAATTGCTCTTTCTAAATGGAGCAAAGATCAGCTTGGACGTATTTATAAACAAATGGTAATCAGAGAAGTAGTAAGATTAAAGGAGGATCTACTTGAGGAATTCCCCACTATAGAGAATAGGGCAGTGTTTCTAAAGGCTTATGTTGAACTTAAGATCTACCTTCACTATGAAGAAGAATTTTGGAGACAAAAGGCTAGTATATAGTAGTTGGAGGAACGAGATAAGAACACAAAGGTTTTCCATTGTTTAGTCAAAGGAAGGAGAAAGAGGCTTTCTTTAAAGATAATTATGAAAGATGATGGTTCATGGGCAAAAGGAGTTGCAAATATTGTTGAGAAGGTTGTCTTTTTTTTTAAGAAACAGTTTTCTGGATGCACCACCTCTGGTGATTTAACACTTATACATCATATTAATCCTTTGATTTTTAACGAGGACAATATTGTTTTAAATGATTTAACAAGTGAGGAAGAAATTAAAAGAGTCACTTTTGAACTTAATCAAGAAAGTTCCTAAGGGTCTGATGGATTCTCTGGTTATTTTTATCAGTCCTATTGGGATATTGTAGGCCCATACATTATTAGTGTGGTAATGCTTTTTTTTTCAGGGACCTACCCTTCCTAAAGCTATTAGTCATACTAATTTGGTTCGTTTACTAAAGAAGGATAGGGTTCAATCTTTCTCTTATTTAAGACCAATTAGTTTGAGTAATTTTATTAATAAAATTATTTCCCGACTCATTCATGAAAGATTGGAAGACTTCCTTCCTAGATTGATATCTTCTAATCAGTCTAGCTCTGTCAAAGGGAGGAGCATCACAGAAAATGTCTTTTTAGCTCATGAAACTATTTCTGATTTAAGGAGGAGGGGTAATCCTTATAATGTAGTTATCAAGTTAGATATGGTTAAAGCCTATGATAGAGTGGATTGGAGGTGAGCAAAATGGATTTTGATGATATGTTTCTTGGTATGATTTGGAGGACTATGGCTAATAAGTGGTACTATATTCTAGTTAATGGATAGTCTTATGGTTTATTTCACTCTTCTGGGGGAGTGAAACAACGAGAGCCTTTGTCTCCTACCCTTTTTATCTTGTCTGCTAAAGTGATATCAAAGGCTTTTTATCAACAGTTTTATGATTATATATGAGTTTAAAAGTTATGGTTTGCCTAAATGGAGTAACAAATTGAATCACCTTTCTATGCATATGATAAAATTGTATTTGCTTCAGTAGATAAAAGATCTCTACAGTTATCATGGAAGTTTTTCAATTGTATGAAAAATAATCAGGTCAAATGATCAATAAGGGGAAGAGCTTCTGTTATATACATTTTAAGGTTGCACTTGCTATTTCTCAAGAGGTTGAATGTACTACTGGTTTTTTGAGAGGTCAATTTTCATTGATGCACTTAGTATGTCCTATTAGTTATTCAAAGAAGAAGACCCATTCTTCAGAACTCATTCAGAAAATACAAAATAAACTACTTATATGGAAAGGTAAATTACTTTCATTTGGGTTTTACATTATTTTGATTAATTATATTCTTTAGAGCATTTTCATTTACCTCCTCTATGCTATTAGTCCTCCTAAATGGGTGATTCATGACATTCATAGAATGTTTTTTAAGTTTCTGTGGAATTTCAAGGAGGGAGGTAGAGTTAAACATTGGGTAGCCTGTAAAGGTGTTTGTTTGCCCAAGAAAGAAGGGTGTATATGTTTTAAATCTTTATTTGATGTTGCTAAGCTATTGTGGAACTTTAGAACTACTCATACTTTGTGGTCAAATTTTATGTGGAATAAGTATTGTAAAAGTCATAGACCAAAGGTGGTGGAATGGAATGGAGGATCACAGGTGTGGAGACTCTTATACCAGACCAGAGATCTCTTTGACCGGGAAATTTGGTAGGAACCTATAGGAGGGAAAGCTAGTATTTGGTTTGACAACTGGACTCAATTAGGGACTCTTCACTTTCACGTGCCTGTAAATCATACTCATGGAATATTAGAAGAAGTGAAGCAGCTGAGAATGGAGAATGTGTGGAATGAAACCTTCTTGTGTGATAATTTCAATTCAGAAGTGGTTAAACATATCCAGGATGTTTTGGGGAATGAAAAGATGATGGATACTAGAGATAAACCATGGTGGATGCTTATGAACACATAACAATCTTCTTCTTAAACCTTAACCACACTTCATGCATAGCTTCTTTTGGTAATTGCTGAAAATTATTATTTCATCTCGCAATCTAACCATCCGCGAAGGTGGGAAAATCTCTCTAGGAAAGTAGTTTTTAGTTCAATCCAAGATGTAATGGACCTTTTACGTAATTGACTAAGCCATGAAGTGGTTTCTCTAGTCAATGAGAAAGGGAACAACCTTTGATAAATAGATTCTTGGCTAATGTTTCTCATTTTGTACGGGAGACAAACATTCACAAAGTTTCATAGGTATCAGTTTGCATCTCCCTTACTAGTCCTTCGAATAATCCTTTCATTTGAAGGAGGTGCAACATGGGACTTGTGACATAAAAAACCGCATTTCATACTGTAGATGGTAGGCAAATGTCTCTGCAACACCTAGCTCAATAGGCTCATCATTCAAAGCACTAGCAAACCCGACCACACTCCAATTGTCAATTGTCATACGTGTGGCTCATCTTGTCCTATTTTCATGTTCAACAATACAAAACAAAAAGTAACAAGAATACAAAATGTACAAAAAAATGAATTCAAACATCAACTAGAAACTCTCGTAAGCCGATCTCTGCCAACAACGTCATTTTTATGAACGCTCAACTATGTCACATTTTCAAGGCATATGCAAAACAAATAATCCAACTTCTGAAGTCAGAACCACAAAGGATTGACAGTTGAGTTGATCACTCTCAAATTGATTTCTCAACCCAAAAAAATCTAGCATATATATATATATATATATGGGGAAATTTAGAAAACAACTAGAAATTTTCAATATCAAGTATCACAAGTAAGGAATCAACACAAATAAGTTTTACTCAAATTGAAAATGATTAGGGTGTTCACATTTTTATGAGGTTTATACACAATAGGTAGAGATTAATAAAAAACAAATCAGTTAGTACATGGATAACATTCATGCTACATTCAATATTCTCTCGAACTATCAAACATATATCCATTGGATTATCTCGAAGTTCAAGACCATTACCAATAAAACACCAAACATTTCTTGATTAGATAACTATCCCTACCTTATAACATTAAATGAGAAATTAATCAAATTATCCAATCTCTAGCTCAAATCCATAGAAAATTTCACCAAGTCCTCACTATTGAAGTCTTACCCAACTCCATTTTGCTTTCTCAAGCCAAAATGGTGTTTAGAGAGTTAAATCAATGTTTGCAACTATTGATTTTAGATTAAAACTTCTAGACAACAATAGATACATGCATAACAACCGATTTTAGAACTAATTAATGAACATTCATTATGTTACACTCACATAGTGCACACTCACTTAGCTACAAATTTAACTACTCATAATGAAAGAAATTAAGACAATATTCATATGAGAGAACTTCATTTTAAGCAAAATTGATTACCAAATCTAAAATTCAATGTTTAATCCAAAATTGATTAACAAATCTAAAATCCAGTTAATCAAAAATTAAGATTTTGATTAAATGCAAATAAATGAGACCTAAGTTCCATACTCCATCCCATTCAAATTGCCTTGTCAGATAGTCCTACTTAAAGGGTACTAATTCAAATTCAAATGAAGATAAGCGGAATCGTTCATAAAATTAAAATATATGATAATAATTTTGGTCAATTTTAAAGGATAGTTACTATTTTCTTCGTCCATTTTATGTGAGGTAGTTTAACTCGGCACAGAGTTAAGAAATTAAAAAAAAAAAATTAAAACTTGTGATCTAAAATGAATAATAGAAATTTATATGGCTATAAACCATTTCATTAAGGCTATAATTGACATTTGAAAGTTAAATTGTTACTTAATATAAGCATGTATCATTTTTTTTTAGGAAAGTAAAACATATAAATTAGAACAGAAAAAGTAATTAAAGTGATGGTACTTTAATACATATCACAGGATGATATTCAAATGATAAATATTTAATTATAAAAAATGAGGTCTTGTATTTTAATATTATAGAACATGGGGTTGCAAGTAAAAAAAAATTAATGGAGAGGACTACATGCTTTAGCTATGGGTAGGGTAGGGTTGGAAATTGAGGCATTGAGAATGTAATTAGCAATCCAATGGTTAGCAGCTTGAGTATAATGGACACCATCCCAGCTGATAACAGTGGAAGGGTTGTTGCAAGATCCTGCATATATTTCTGTTCCATTATTTAATCTTTTTTTATTCCCACACCAAACATCCTCTCCATTTTCGTGATACCCGCAGCAAATCTTCGATGCCTCCTCGAATCCTGTCAACACACCAAACATATTCACTTTATTACCTGATTTAAGTTTAATCGAGAATTTGTTCATGAAATCTTCATAAAATAAAATTTATATATTGTAAACTATGTAAAAAGTACTAGTAATATAATACAATGATTAATAATTCTAAAATATTTAACAAATATATAAAAAACTTACATAAAATTATTTAAATATTGAAATTCAAAATATGTCACATAAATTAATTAGAAATACTTTTTTTTAACACATTGACAAAGTGGTCAATATCACATCATATAACAAATTGGCTGGTGGATTTCACCGGTTTCACTTTCTTTTACGAGTAGATAGATAAAATATTTTAGTCATTGCGCTGCTGTGCTCTTTGACAAATAATAGTTTAGTATTTTCAAAAATTAAATTATACTTTATTAGATAACTTTATGTGATTAAGTTACCATTTGGAAAGATAAAAGAGATTTATTTTTTTACTGAGATTCTTTTGTATTATTTTAAAAATATTTTGAGTTACATGTAAATTTTATTTTATAAAATATAAGATATATGTTGAATCCACATGGAAAATTAGATAATTTAATACCCGTGATCTAAATCGTTTCACATAAAATGGCACAAATCATTTAATTTTCGTGATCTAAATCGTTTCACATAAAATGACACAAATAATTTAATCTCCGTGATTTAAATCGTTTCACATAAAATGGCATAGAAGGAGTAGTATCAAAACTTATATTGATGGAATGGCATGGAACACTCTTAAATTGCCTTGAATTGTTAATTGGACTATTTTACTCACGACTTTGTCAACTGAATACTTAAATTTAATAAAACTCAATCTTTTAAACTCTTTTCTCATTCCGTTTAAGGTGCGTCTAGTACACCTACTATATGTGGAATTTCATGTCATTTTTTAATGTCACGTACGAAATGAAATGCTTAAAATTAACTTAAACTCCCAAACCTTTTCATTTTGTAATAGATAACATCCTCCAATGGTCCTTCAAGCTCAACCATGGATTAGTTACTGGGATTCACTATTTTCACTACAACTGGTGTGCACCTATGGGTCCCTTTAGCCCACCAACTAAAATATGGTGCCATGTCAACTCAAATTTCATTGATCATTAATTTGAACTTTGTCTAAAGCTTTTTCAACCACTATTAAAAACTAAGAATCTATTTGGATCGAGTTAAAAGTTGGTCAAATCTATTTTTAAGTCATTTTCAATTTTTAAAAGTATCGAACAAAGTTAAAAATAACTTGAAATAAATAATGATGAATTAAAATAAGTTAAAAATTAAAAATAGGTACCCCATACTTTTCAATTTTAAACTTAAAAGTTACTCTTTTTATAAACTATTTTAAAAAACCTATTTTTTTTTGAAGTCAAGTCAAGCGGGCTCTAAATATGATACTGTAAGTTTACAGTTCAAGCATGATTTATAAGTTAAAACTTGATACACACAAAAAAAATAAAAAATAAAGGAGGTTGAAAAAGAATCAATTACCTTGGTTCTTTGCATTGCTGATTAACTCATACTTAGCCTTGTACAAATCAACGTAAGTTATTGCAGCTTGTTGAAGCTCTATCCTGAGTTTGGTCAACATATCGAAGAGGTGTTTGTTGAACGCTATGGCTATATCATTCATATCCTTGACGCATCCATGTTCATCCAGGTACCCTGCTGCTGGATCTTTTATTTTGACTGTGGCCACAGGCAAGCAACCAATTGGACCTGTATTATGAATCCACAAATTCCTTGCCCCTTTCTTGTATAATTCCTAAAACATATTAAACACCTAAGAATTAATTATGGGTAAAATAAAAATATTAGAAACTTATTCATATAATAATAATAATAACAGGTTAAGTTATGTTATTAATTGAACTTTATTGCACATTCATTCATACATGTTTCATTTAAAAAATTACCCCAGTCTTACTCAAATATTAATTTAATAGTATTTTTCCACTTTTGTTGAAAAGTCATTTATTTTCATATAAAGAAATAGAATCTCTATGTTTATTAATGATATATATAGCTGGTGTCATGTGAGAAAGTTAAAGATGAACATACTCGAAGTTGTGCTGCAAACTGGTTAATTATATCCGGTATAATTGCTCGAACTTGTTCCATGTTTGGCAACATTCGAAAAGCAGCAGAAATATCATTCTGTCCTATATCTATTGTGTATAGTGCCTTGGAGAACTCCACAGGTATGGCAAGCCTGCTTTTATCTGATTCTTCTTTCCCTGCAAAATCCCACATCTCATTCAAATTGTTTATTTGATTAGGAAAATGTGAGAGTGAACAAGGTCGAACCTTGATTGTAGAAGTAGGTAGTTCGTTCTTTAAATTGAGTGTAGTGTTCAACTTGAATATCAAGAGGAAATGGGCTAACACCATTCGCAAACCATGATTCATTTATTCTTCTAATTGTTGCTCCTCCTGTTGCAAAGTTTGCACCATGTCTATAACTTGTTCCTAATGTATCCAGATATGGACTCAACTGCGGTACTCCAAGCTGCTCAGCTTAATTTATATATATACAAACAAAATTATTTAGTATAACATCGATATAATTACAAGTAGAAGCTAAGCTCCATCTGTTCTTACCAATGAAGTCAATAATAAGGCGGCCATCCGAGCCCCTTCCAGCAGGTCTATGGAAGTAGGACTCTCCGCAGGGTGCTGCCATGGGATAAAATGCAGCTGCGATTCCACCCGTATCTGAATTAGAGTCTCCAAAGTTGTAAATTGCTGGAAAATCACATGATGCTATTACTTCTGTTGAATCTATTACCTTATCATTGTAAGCAAATGTTATAGTAAATCCCACTATGGATACAACTACAATTCCCAACAATGAGTTTATCATAGTTATTGTACTAATTGATACTCCAACCAAATATAAGTCAATTGGTGCTGAAATAATGCTCTACTTTATTTATAAGCAATTTTACGCATACTATAGCTTGAGAAAATTAGCTCAAAGCTATCTAACAACTCTTCAATTAAAAAAGGTAACCATTGACCAACTGAGGTGAACGTAAGAAAAATAAGTCAAAGGTATCAAATAAATTTTCAAGGGAAAAGGTACAAGTACCCCTAAACTATGATCGAAATCCCAGAGACACACATTAACTAAACTAAGGTCCTATTACCCCTGAACCCATTTTTCTTTTGTAAATTTGTACACATTTTTAGCTTACATGACATCCAAATATCTCCCACGCGCCTCAATTGTATGGAGTCACGAAGTGTGCCACGTGAGACAAAAGGTGTACAAAATCACAGAAAAAATGAATTCAAGGGGTAATAGGACCTTAGTTTTGTTAAGGTGTGTCTCTAAGATATTGGTCATAGTCTAAGGGGTACTTATTCATTAGCCCAATTTTCAATAAAAAAGGTAACAACTTTAACTTGTTGAGGTTAAGGTGAAATCAAACAAGTCTTCAAATTTAAAAAGGTGAACCTTTGATCTGATTTTTTAGTGAGTTATTTTATAGTAATATGAGTGTCTACGAGCTCTATGACTCACCCAGATTACATATTTAACCATATTGAGATTTGAGCAGAAGAAGGGTAATATTCCTCAATAATGTTTGTAGCTTTTTACTTATGAAATGTGGTGCACAAAATATATTTATAAACAAGACTCTAGTAGACATGATTTGTAGACTTCCTAAAGTATGACATTGCTCTAATATCAAGTTTGTCACATTTCAAATTCAACTCCTAATTTGAAGGGCGCAACTGGCACCTACTGTAAAATTTTAAGATTAAGCGGACTCAACTGAACCATTTGTTAATGGCGCATAGCAGTCACACATAGTCCAAAAAAAAAAACAAGTATATCTTAGCTTAAACATAAGTTCTCGGTCAGCAAGGCCTTTTTCAACAGCTCTTTAAAGAAAACAACTACTCTCAATAGTTCATAAAAAGCAATAACAACTAGCACACAAATCTTGTTTGGGACGTTGAAGCCACCATGATATATAGGAATGCATAAACTCTATATGGGGTGTCAAAGCCACCATGATCTCTATACAAAGGTTGAATACATATACATATATATCCAAAAAATTCACCAAATAGGCATCAAACATTGGTAAACCAACAAACAAGGCTAACAAAGACAACAATTGTCACAACCCGAGCCTATTCTCTTGTCACGACCCAAGGTAGATCCTAGGTGTAACATGGCGTGTAGAACCCCAAAAGACCCTACACAAGGCACTTAGAATACATTATACAAGATAAATATAAAATCGAGAGAATTTAAAAGACAAATTCAAAACATAAGAGTTTTATAAATGAAGCGGAAGTCTAACAATGTCTCAAAGCCATCTAGTACAAAAGATAATCGGGACGTAACATGCATATCAAGTTCAAAGACTAAAATGTAAAGACAATATGAAATAAGGTTTGGTCCTCAAAACATGGGGACTCACCGATCTTCAATATCTACTAAATGATCCCTAGCCACGGAGATGCGAATCTGGAATGCCGGACCCTACATTTAGGAGAACGTAGGTAAGAGTATCGATAGTACAAAGATGTATCAAGTATGATAGCAATGCATAGAGATACAAATCATGCTAAAAAGGACCTTTTAATGATATGCAATGACCAAGCTAAAATATGAGATAAAAGTGTTAGAAACATAAGTCATAAAAGCACGGTCAATGCAAGTTAACATCTTTAAAACATTCGTGACATACTTCTTGAAATAATGTTGATTAATTCATTAATATGGGAAATTTACCTTTAACCGACATGTAAGACGATGTGAGCTATTAACATGGAATTCGGTGTCTACCCCACACCGAAAGAGGTGTTCTCACTTGCCAAGGTAAGAACTATGAACTTCTAGCTTACGTGGATCCACTAGCTAATATCTATCTAGGTAACCTATGGTGGTACATAGTATATGGGACATGGGTAATCACCACTTGTCCACTCGGTGCTTAGCATAACTCCCAAAGACTATTGATTAGTCTTAACTTTCCTAAACATTCATGAGACATGGGTAGCCGCCACTTGTCTTATCATTGGAGGTCATGGGTAACGCTGCTTGCCTCATTATTAGAATAACTTCTTAACTTTTATTCAATTCAGGTGAGAAGATCTTTCAACCTTAAAATTATTTATGTGAGAAAACTTTTTTCACATTCATACTTTCATGTGTATATGAGAAACCCTTTCACAACACAACAATAATCATATTGATACTTCACTCTCAAAGCATCCTTAAAACATTTTCATCAATTTCATAAGAACATGCATATCTTCATAAATTCATCTTTCATAGTTTAAAACCCACATTATTGTTGGGTATAGCAAGAGTTAATGGGAAATGAAAGAAAGATGAAAAGAGGAATTGAAAAAGATTCCCTTATGCTTTAAGAAAAGGCATTTCTTCCTCATTGTTGGTGAAAAATTGAAGTGTTTAAATAGAGAAACAGTTCTACTAGTTGTTAAAAGGGTTAGAAAGAGGGTCCCCCTCGCGCCGTCATCATCGTCGCTCGCTCGGCACGGCTTCAGCTTCGGCTACGGCTATGGAAAATGATCGATCGAGAGATTATTTTTGGACAAAATTTGTTTTAATTATTTAATTAATTAAATTGAATGGCCAAAACGTTTCAATTATTTAGTTAATTAACCGAAACGCTTTGACCCGACTCAGATCCGCGCGACCCACCCATTTTATTTAAAACACTTTACAATTTTATTTGAATTTCCCGTCGTTGTAGATTGATATACCGTGAGTTTTACGGTATTTCTAATACATTTCACTTACAAGTTGTGTGTGTCTAGGGCCTTTTTATATTGGTTTTTATGTGTTTTTATCATGTTTTGTAGGAAAGGTGTTCAGGCGCGGAAGTTTAGAGACAGCTGAAAGAAATGCAGAAAAAGGCATCCACGGAGGTGATCTATGGACCGTAGGTCCATTCACGGTCCTTAGGTTATGACCGTAGATCAACAGGCATGGTGTTGAGGACAAATCAGGGAAATCTGACCAAGTGTGGAACCACGATGCCCATTGATGGTCCGTAAATTGATCTACGGACCGTACTGTTGATCCGTAGAGTGAGACTGCGAGGATTCCAGTACCTGATTTTTGAAGATTCTAAGTATGGAGCTACGGAGGGGATTGACGGACCGTAGGTCGATCTACGGTCCGTACTGCTGGTCCGTCGTTTGCTTCAGAGAAGCTGAGTTTTGGAAGCTGAAATATTTTTTAAGTCCCGAGCGACGGAAGGGACTTACGGACCGTAGATCAATCGACGGTCCGTAAGTCAGTCTCGTGGATCGAAGACGCGTACCTGAACAAAACTTTTCTTAATTTGTTTCATTTTTTATTTAGGATTTGTTTTCTATAAATAGGACATGTAAACCTCGTTTTTGGGGGTTAGACACTATTATTCTATTTTTGCTTTGTAACTTTGGAGATTAATTTGCAACCCTAACAATTATTGATTTCCCAAGTTCGTTTTGAAGATTTTGGCTTTGCAATTCAAGTTAATTTTCTGGGTTTATTATTCTCTTTACGTAAGTTCATGATTTCTTCATCTACAATTATAAATTGTGCTCTTGCCAATATGAGTAACTAAATCCACAACTAGGGTTGTGGGAACCATGATCAATTAACAAAGTATGAATAGTAAATAAGTAATTCTTGACTAGTATTTTGCATGCATTGATAATTCTTTCGTTTAGAAGTCTTTTTAACGGTGGCCAACGTTAGAAATCGCCTTGTTACTACTTGCCGGACCAAGGAGGTAATTAACAAGAAAAGAATTATCAACATAGATTTAGTGTGATACTATATAATAGGCTAGTGTCGATTAGTGCGAAGTAATAACTAAGCCAAACATCGATTATGATGTCTAATATGAGGTAAAGGTAAGGGTTAGTAAATTATACACACGTAGCCAAACCAAGGTGCGAGGTGAAATTCTCTAGATGCCGGACCAAGGATTTATTGATACCTAACTTATCACTTTGCATGTAATACACTAGAAAAGGATTGCTATTACTAGGATTACTGCGTTATGAGATTGTGGGGAACACGTATACCCTAGTTCTTTCTCTTATCTTGATAACAACCAAAGTTGAGTTTAATTATTGATTACTTATTAAGTCCTTACTATTTGTTTCACACAAGCACAACCCCCCTTTTTATTACCTGTTTCTGGAAATAATTTGACTAATTGAATATAATTGTTGGTTAAAAGTAAAGTCTAAACCATTTTCCTCGTGGGATCGATCCCAACCTACAAGTTGGGTTCTTTACTTGATAACGATCGCTTATGCTTCTGAAAGGAGGTGTAATTTGAGCGTATCATAGATGACTGTTCTGAAAGGTTGCAACTTTCAGGAACAGCCAGGACCGTTTGAAAGATTGCAAACTTTCATAAATGGTCGTGTGGTTTCTAAAAGGTTGCAACCTTTCGGAACCAGTTCCTCTTGTCTATAAATACCTTTGATTCCTCGGATTTTTACTTACGAAATTTCTGAATTGTTCTTCTTCTTCTTCTGCACAAAAACTTAATCGTGTACTTTACTACCGTTGAGTGGTTCGCTGACACAAGAGTTTTGGGTATCAATACACTTGTGATTGAGATAATTCTATCCTAGGAGAACATATTCGAAATTAACTATCGGATACTAGAGGGGAATAATTTCCTTAAGGGGGCACTATGAATTCAGTGGGCTTGATCTTCTTTCCATTCTGTTCTTCAGATTCTGGTACGTTTTTATAGATTTTAGTTTTGCTAATTAATTTTTGTTCTTCACTGGTTCATCGAAACTTTGGTAACTTTGTGTTTCTGCAAAGTTTCTGGTAATCAGTAATACCGTTTAAACACAGAT